TTTTGCCAGTGAAATTAAGGATATGTAAGTGTAAACTTCTCTCAAAAGCCCTAAAACACAAGCTTCTAGTAGGCTTATTGTTTTGACATTACATGCCATATTTTCAACTTGATAAACTACTCCACAAAAAATTAGTTTGGTAATAAATGCAGCATGCTCTAGTCACGTACATATTCACATATCATGCCCCAGTTCTCTTACAGTGTGTAATAACTAAAACCAATTTACAAGCTTGACATAAAACCTATGGAATTCAATTGAAAGACTCGGATCAATGTAAAGTTTCAGAGCTCTACATTTAAAATAATAAACTTCTGAAATAAACAGTAGATTACTTCATACTGGCAAGCAAAAAATTCTATCAACCCTCTAGCCTTTGTCTCTACAACAGGTTACTCTCAAGGGTAAGTAATGCTGCATCAGGCTCCCAATGGCAGAGGTGGGTGCCATCAGGAAAGCTCGTCACACACCAAGTATTGTACACTGCTATTAATGACAGGCAAATTATTTCCATTTCAACTTCAAGAAACATAATAGGTAAGCAAATATACATAGAAACATGATATCATTCCACTACCTGGCCAGCAGGATGCGAGCTATTTCCAGAGAGGACATCGGTTAACTCATTAACATTATTGTAAGTTTTTTCTCTCTGAAGTCATACTGCAGTTTCCTCTTTTTACTCAGCGCAATATTTTCTGGCTTTATTTTACTTATAAGAAGCACACGTACAGCAGAAATTGTTCAAAATTTAAGCCGAGTCTCCATTTAGCCTACAAACACCTTTGCTCAAGGAGACATGCTGTTGCATTTGCTCTGTAAGCACCCTCACACCTCCAGCAGTACATACAGTGTTAGTCAGCAGTTCCACTTCTCCTCATTTCTGATACCTTCCTTTCACACAAAAGTCAAAGCCCAGAGTAAAACAAAGGACTTCTTAAAATAGAAAGTTCACAATAAATTGCTTAGAATAAAAAAAACCCACAACTTCGACTGCACATGCTGATAGCACATTAATTTATATAGAGGCACTTATACCCCACATATTTGTGTTAAACTGCCATGTATTATTCTAGGTTGCATAAATGCTCTCTTTAAAGTGTTTTTAGTGCTCATATTTTCTCTTCTCATTTCAGCAGTCCTATCTCAAACACCTCTGTGCTCTTTACCCAGAATGTTTAGGTGTCATAAGAGCAAAAGATTGTTAGCATATTTTATTTGGTTAGAGCCTTTAAAATGAAATACATATGTTTTCAATTAACAAACATAAGACAAATTTAGCTCTCTCATCCCACTTCCTCTCACTCCAAAGGCTGAGGACACGCATTTCAGAAAAATATGTGGGAGAACTCAGAAGTAACGTGTTTTTTTTAAAGCCTTATAAATCTTGTAAGTGAAAGCTGACATGTCATACAAGGAAAAATACCAAGATGAAACCTTTCAGCATAGAAAATGAGAAGAATTATTAAAGGAAATGTTATCACCTCATCCTTTATTCCTTCAGCTGTGCCTATGGAGCAAAGGCAGCTTCAGACTGAAGTAACTTCCCGCATACCTCATGACAGCTTAAAACATGCATGAAGCCCAAATGATGAATCCATATACCATATCCTATAAAGCAGACTACAGCTACACATCATATTCCTTATAGCATTGTAATATTATATTGCAACTGCTTTAACTTAATTTAAGAGTTTGTCAGAAACCTGCAAATACTCTGACTCCATTCCTTGTGTCTTTACATACAGTCAAAGTTCTGGTAGAGATAACCATACACTACTGCATACAATGCTTCCCTGTGGTCACACAAGTGCTGACAAGACCAGAACTCTGGGTAAAAGCGAGCTGTCAGCAGTGTAGGGAAGCTATAATTTCAACACGAATAGCTAGGCTGTTCGCAAACATGCTTTCCAATTAGGAACAGCAATTTCAGGTAGACAGTATAGTACTTTTCAGAATGCGGCTTGGCACGCAGAGGAGTACCTTCTCCTCTCAGACCAGACTCAGCATCAAGACCAAGGACGATGGAACAGGTCTGTACTGACTCTGGTAAGTTCTGATTACATAGTTGAAATACATTATTTTAGTCCTTTATTTACAAAGCAGTCAAAAGATATTAGTCTCTGCTATTCGTCATTTAGGATCACAAATACTTCACTCTTGCTGGTCACATTCTAATCTTACTGCAGTACTTGTGGATTGTAAGTGCCCTGCAAAATCATCCCACAGATGTGCAATCAAACATCTACTAGCTAGATACACTCCAAATTTAAAAAAAACTAGGTTCCACCAATATAATACAGTATACTTACTACATGACTTTGGGGTAAGAATTTGAAAGAGCATCCTTTTGTATTACTCATCAGAGTTCAGGGCCAGGTTTCCATGCCACTGTCTAACCTGTGTTTTCACAATTTCACCATTTCTTGCAACAGATGCAAAAGATCAGGATTTTCATTACAGCTCAATGCACAGTTCCCTGTCTATACTCGATTGGCAGGTTCATGTATACAGGTATACACAAAACCTGCAAATTAAGATTTACACACTACTTTCACAACAATAACAACTGATAATGGTCAGCTTTTTTACCACTTCTATATTAACTGTTCTTCTCCACAACTTTACAGTACAAAGTGGTTCACCACAAAATCAAAACACAAAAACCCAAAACAATTCAGCCTTGCTGTGAAAACCAAGTATTTTCCTGAAGTTTAAGGCCTCTTCCTCAGAACAAAGCTGTCAAGCGTTTTACCACTGACAAAAGTCAGATGAATGTCAGAATTAAACCTCCTGCTTGCATCAAATTGTATAAATATGAGAGAGGTTTGACAACTTACTAGTGAAAGAAATCCTTTGCAAAAATTATTATGTAATGTGTAGGACAGGCAAAGCTCTGGTTAAAGTCAATAAACAGACTCCCAAATCACCAGCTGCCCTCCCCAGCATCTTGTGGCCCGAGGCCACATTGTATATAGTTGAAATACTCTGCACAAAGGATGCCAGTCAACTGAGGTTTAGAGTAACAACTGCTTTCATTGCACTGTTAGTTATACGGCTGAGTTCTTAACAAGGCTATTTGGACAAAAAAAAAAAAAATCAGAAAGCCCACCATGTTGGGAGCAGAAAAACCATATATTTGTCTGTGCATGAGTTTCAAAAAATCATACTTAAAACGTTTGATGACCTTTCTACATAACCAGTGACTGGACTGATGAACTTCATGAGTGCAAGTAAGCCGCCACTTTTAGGAAGTCTGGTTCCATACTTTGTGCTACTTACAGCCAGGTCAATTTTAAACAGAAAGAACTGAATGGAGAAAGAAATACAGTATTTAATGGAAGTTTTGTAAGACCAACTTTTATAACATATGTATTAGACATCTTCACACAGTTGTCATACACTCATCTTATTAATCATTTTAAAATATCATTGAAAAAGAGAAGTCTCTACACTTATCACTTTGGAGTTCGTCAGCCCTGTCAAGTATATGCATTTCACTGAAAGTAATCTGGATTTACACCTACAAAGCATATGATCTTAATTGAAGGCATTCACAGAATCACAGAATGGTAGGGGTTGGAAGGGACCTCTGTGGGTCATCTAGTCCAACCCCCCTGCCAAAGCAGGGTCACCTACAGCAGGCTGAACAGGACCATGTCCAGGCGGGTCTTCAATATCTCCATAGAAGGAGAAAGTTGGGCAGAGAGGAACCTGATGAGGTTCAACAAGGGCAAGTGCAGGGTCCTGCACCTGGGGAGGAACAACCCCATGCATCAGTACAGGCTTGGGGTGGAACTGCTGCATTGTGTAAGTTAACCACGACAGGTAAAGGGACCAATGTGAGAGAGCAGTATGATAAATGATGAGGACAGCACCTGGTACAGAGGTCACTGTCTCCTCCATCTCACAAGTGGTCACTTCCACCAATGCCAACACAACTTATAAAATGGAAACACATGAGCTCCATTCAAGACAATTCACTAAAGCAAAATCCTCACTTTCTTCAGTGCTTGACTTGAAATCTAAGTGTGAAGGTCTGAGAAATGGGTTTTCAACTACGACGCTAATTTCCTTTACCAAAACATCTCAGAGCACATGGAAGAAACAAAATGGAGCAGACTACAGAAATTTTGCTAAGTCTAGAAAAAGTTATTTCTACAGTATAGTAGGATGTTTGAACTTCGCTTTTAATCTTTTCATTTGCTGTACTTCATACACTTCAATATTGTTGTAACCACTTGTCTTTCAAAATAACAACATACTGAAATTGTGACTATCTTAAAAAGTGATTCATTTCAACGAGTGAGGATACACACTAAGCACGTTTATTGGGCATCTTTCTCAAATGCAGCAATAACAACACAAAAAACAACCCATTTGGATCTCACTTAATTTTTAATTCATTATAATTAAACATGTGCAAGCTCCAGGCTTTGAAGAGCTATAGGAGCTATCAGATTCATTTATATTGAGCCTAGCTCTTCATCTGGGGTCTCTTCCAAAGTTTATGGAAAAGGATACAAGAAGCCTTCCACCAACAAACAGGAAATTTAAAAATCTTTAAAGCTACAGGTAGGGTAGATTAGGAACATGGAAATGAAATTGGAGACACTCATCTCCATTCTGCCGACTCAAATATAGGCAGGACAAGAAACATAAGCAATTCCTCTCTGATGTAAATGGAAATCTACCTAGGGACAAACAGTTTACATCTTCCAACCACAGAGCAGGATCAAGGCCAAGAGCTGTTTCTTGATATCTTACACCAACACTCAAGATGCAACTTTTCCTCTACTTTTCTAATCCACCCAACACCTGATGGATGGACAAACAGCTATATTCCAGTTAATTCATTTGCTAAAGGAATAATGCTTACACCATGCTTGTTACCTTTCATTTCAAACAAAACGTTATTCCTGTCCCAGAAATAGCTGAAACAGCACTGAAACTACCTTAGCAATTTTCAAAGGGACTTTTCTCTAATTGTATTGACCCACCATTCATTCCATTGTATATACTTCTGTGGTGAGGTGACAGGTCATCTGTTACTTGTCTCCTGAGGGTACCTTCTCTGCTGCCTCCGCTGAGATGTTTGAGATGCTCTGGGCTTCCTCCATAGTGTTGTTTGAGATGCTCAGGGCTCGTACCCCTCACTTTGTGGAGATGTTCTGTACTTCCACTCGGTGTGTGCTTTTGAAGATGGTCTGGACTGCCACTGCTGTGCTTTTGATGCTCAGGGCTACTACCAGGCCTCTGTTTTTGAAAGTGCTCAGGGCTACTACTCAAAACATGCTTTGGGATAGTTTCTGGACTGCTGCTGCTGTGCTTTTGCTGTTCTGGTGCTTTGACAATGGTTTTGTGGTGTTCCGGACTTGGTCCTTTCAGGTGATGATCAGGACTGCCAGAACTCCTAGGCTTCTGGAGGTGCTCTGGGCTGATACTCCTGTGTTTCTGATGCTCAGGGCTTCCTTCGCCCCGTGTTTTTTGAAGGTGTTCTGGACTAGTACTTGGATGATGCTTATGATGGTCTGGACTGTCTGTACTTCCCGTGCTAGAAGTACTACTCCCATCACCGCCATCTCTTACATAAGTACTCGTTGCAGTTAACTGGCACAGGCTGATTTGACTGTCGATAGAGCTCCGGCTGCCTGCTCCACCACCTTTCTCTTCATCCAGCAACACACACAATTCTCTCAGCTCCAGGTTTTCCTTAACCACTTCTTCCTGCCTCACTTCCAGTTCTTTCAGCTTCTGTAAGTATAAGGCAACCTCTTTGTGCATAATACTAGCACTGTATCTGCCCAGTCTCTGCCATTCACGGGACACCTTCTTGCCTTTCTGCCTGTCATCATCCAGAAAGCAGCAAAGGTCTCTCAGTTCTTGGTTATCTTCTTGCAGCTTCTGGTTGATATCCTTTAAAAGAAAGATAATCATGACAGAGAAGTGTCTAAAAGAATTAACGTTATACCTTTCCCATTATACAAGCCAGCAAACAGCACTGCTATGAACCCACCATCTAAACACTCAAGTGAGGCATAAATAATTCTGTGTGTAGATCTGGCATACTGTAACAGCCTCATGCTTCAAACAAACAAAGCTGCTATCCAGGAAAAAGTGACTATAACATGGAGCTAATCTTCAAGGGTTCAAAGACTGACTTCTGACACAGTATAAAAGTTTTAGGTGCTTAACTAATTTTCATGCTAAATATCAGAATAATTTAGCTGCCAAACCAGGCAAAGATCATAAGCCCTCTCATGATGACCTCACTTCCTTGAGAAATATTCACCTGCGAGTTACTGCTGAATAAAACTGCAAGAAACTTCAGAAGTTGTCATCTCACTTAAATAACTAATTAGTAACATTTATACTCTCTATTCCCTAAAGCACAATCACATATAAAGGTGAACTTTTTAGAGATATAAAATATTTGGATTTTGTCTGATTTTGTTTCAGATTTGCTTAAAAGAACTTTGTCAGTCATCACTTAACCAAAATTGTTTCAACCACTCTGAAATTAACTAATCTCCTTTTATCGGTTTTGCACTCCTAACAAAGTACATGGTTCCATACCCTTTTTAAGTGAGGAACAGTCTGAAGCAAAAATGTTCAAGCTATTACTACAGCAGAATAACATGCCAAAGAAAACATTTTCAGTGTTTTATCCTCCTAGTTTTGCTACACTGGCTTGCAACCATACTTATCTTTCTTCCATCTAAACATTCATTCCTTCTTATGCATATTAGAAGCAGAGATTAGCCGCAACAGTTAAAAATTTAGCCTTGTGGAAAGACCATTTTAGTACTGTTTCTTAGGAAAAGGAAGCTTTTGTAATTCCACTGGATTTGTGTACATATTTGACAAAGGAGAAACCTCAATGAGGCTACAAGGTATCCTTAAAAATCTGTGCTGGTGAGAGATATTTAAAATGACCCCATGGTGGAATAAAAAAAAATTTGAGTGGAAGCCCACAATTCAACAGTCAGAAGCAGGAGGCATCCATCCATCAAAACCAGGCGCGGCTGGTCACTGTTACTTGTGGACCAGTTACTTCACACAGGATAAAGGAGGCAGACGTCCAGACCCCAACACAGGGCTCAAAACTTCGTTCTCCCAAGTTCCTTTGAAAAGTTCCAGCTGAGGCATCCAAACAAAAGGCGGAAGTTAAACACCACTGAAGGAGTTCAGAACTGAGAGAAATTTGTCATTCCTTCCTACACATCTTGGTGTGTTTTGTCACTTATCTGGAGGATGCACGAATCCGTACGATGTCACAACACCTTTGCACAGAACTGGGAGAAAGATACTGTTGTTGCAATTCAACTTACATTTCAAATGTAAGCTTTATATTTCCTGAAGTACTATCATTGAAGGGTTGTCTTTACCCCCAGACACCACATATTTTCAAAAAGAGGAAGGGGACACACACACTCATACTTTGCTAAACAGGAAAACTCAGGAGACAGGAACAGTCTCGCCCCACATGCTATGCTTTATGCCACTCTATTATCAAAGAAGCTTTCTTAATAATTTAGTTGTTTAAAGCCATTCTACAAGAAGTCCCTCCTAATGTACTCAGATGTAACAATTCAAAAGCTCACACTGTGTCTCTCCTCTCCTTCCCTCCAAGTTCATCTCACTGAAGGAATTTCCGAAAAACAATGCCATTTCTCAAAACAAGACAGAAAATGTTTTGTAGTCATGCCTGCTTTAAGATAACTTTCTAGGTCTATAATACACAAGTGCATGATACATCATGGTAATTATCTGTAAGTAGTCACACTATCTTCCCAGTCCTCGGGACTGAGAAGGCAACATGAGCGACTGCGCTTCTCATCCAGCAGAAGAGTTAAATTAAGAAGGGGCAAGTCATTACCGACTTGGTCTGCCTCTCACTGTAGTCTGCAGAAGTGTACAGTCAACAACGGTTTGATCAGAGATGCGTTATCAGGCATCTTTTTCAGACACTGAACTAGAGATTGGTTCTGATCATCCCGAAATCAAGCCCGAGGTTTTCCCCCCCCCTGCCATATGCTGCCACACCGCATCCTGGAGACGATCAGCTCTCTCCAGCAGCCTACCAGACTGCCTGGCAGATGAGCAAGTCATCTTAAAACAGCGACTGAACACAGCATAAGCTACACAAAACCTTTTGAACGTCTACAGCTCTGCACGCTGTTCTTTCACGTGCGCTTCAGGCAGGACCGTTTAACCCGACGGAAAACCAGCGAGGTCCAAGGCAGAAGTGACAAGACTTCAGCGTTTTCACCGGCCCAAAGCACACAAGAGCCGCGCTCCACGGCCGGGTGAGCAGCTGGCCGGCTCTTGACCCGCCACCCCGTTTTCAAGCGGGATCAAACGCTCTCCACTCGGGCTCTCGACCGCGTTCCGCGCGATTCTCGGTGAGGGCGGCTCCCGGACCACCCGCCCGGGGGGGTGGCTCCCGGCGGGGGTCGCGACCACACGGCAGAAACTTCGGGGGTCCCGCCCTGCCCCCCCC